ACCTGAGCCTTAAGATAAAGGGTACAAAAAACACCTTACAGAATATCTTAATGAGAATTTTTCGTCGTTGGAGATGCTTTCTCTCGACTGTATATAATTGTTTATCATCTTTTTTATTCATATTTTACTTTTTACAGTGTCGCTTAAATAACTCTTTTATTCAGTAATCACAAAATTGTTTAAAGAATTTCTGGAATCGACTCATCGATATCATCACTGTGGTATTTGAAATACATTTCGTTGATCAAGGTACTTACATTCATGGACAAAACTTAAGGAAAAAATAAAGCATTTCTTTATCGTGTAAGTGAAAGTTGTTGATGGCTTTCGCCATCTATCGGAATAAATATCGACTATTCTCGTTGATTTCTAATTATTCCATAATTGACCAAATACCCATTCTTTATTAATCAAGATTCTGGAATAATCTGGATATATTAGAAATCTACGAGAATAGTTAATATACATTCAGATAGATGGCACAGGCCATCAGCAACTTTCAGTTGTACGATAAGATTTCTTTTTCGTAATTTATGCATCTTATCCCAGTACAATATCACATTTGCGCTATTTTTTCCACAAAACTTGAGGAAGTTGTACCTTTTACCATATATACAAGGATTCAGACAATAACTCTGAAAGATATTACAATGACCTTTATTGAAGTCACACGAGATAACCAAGTGTGAACAAAATTACCTCTGTCTATTTAGAATATATATATATATATATATATACGACAGACATTAAAAGGTTTTCATATCCTTAAGTTTTGTACATGAGTTAAGACTACAAAAGCATTAAAAATGGTCTAAAAAAGGATAAACACAAATTAAATTAGTTACAAAACCTATGTACTCTATATAGAAGGTATAAATCAATCTGAGAGACTTGCAATCTATTCTCACATAAACCAAAGTCTCTATCTACAAGTTTTTCCTGAGCCTTGACAATTAAAATAATTTTATTGTCATCTTGTCAATACATGCAAAGTGCACAGTCTGCACTATTTAAAAAAATATATAATATGCATTATATACACTATGTGCAATGAATATGGCGTCTCTGCCAGCGCTGCAGAGTTTGGTGGAGATTCACCAGCAGGTCTCCAGCGACACCACGTATTTCGTGATCTACGAAGAAAACGTAGATCACGGGCTTCGCCGCTGAGGTCCTGAGCCTTGAGGTGAAGGAATTAACAAATTCACTTGATTATCTGGAGAGGAAGATATTTCGTTGTTGTTAGAAACTCTTCAACTCTACGCAAATAGATACATTTTATATACTCAAGGACAAAACTTGAGGACCTGGAGTGTCTTTGATGTCGTCGTTTTCTTTTTTTGAGACAGAGGCAATTTTGTTCACAATTGATTAAATATTGTGTCTTCACAATAAAGGTCATTGTAATATCTCTCAGAGATATTGTCTGAATCTCGATATACATGCTAAAAGGTACTACTTCCTTAAGTTTTGTCCATGAGTGTATCTCTCAGAGTTATTGTCTGAATCTCGATATACATGCTAAAAGGTAAAACATTCTCAAGTTTTGTTCACACTTGGTTATCTCGTGTGTCTTCAATAAAGGTAGCTGTAATATCTCTCAGAGTTATTGTCTGAATCTCGATATACATGCTAAAAGGTACAACTTCCTTAAGTTTTGTTCACACTTGGTTATCTCATGTGTCTTCAATAAAGGTAGCTGTAATATCTCTCAGAGTTATTGTCTTAACCCGATATACATGCTAACTGCTATTTTACTTCTTTTTTCCTATATGGGAGAATACTGTATGGGAAGATTGTCCATAATAAAGACTTTTTTTTGTTGAATCCCAATATACTAGTACATGCTAAAATTAAAACTTCCTTAAGTACTGTCCATGAGTGTATATCTTCCTTTTTACTGTGTCTTTTGAATACTTTACAATTTAATTTCATTTAACCTAATTTGCATACCAACCCTTTGTACATATATCAATTGTGTTGATATTTTTTCTCTTTTCGTCTAACTAACTTGATAAGTGGACGAGTAGGTAACACCCTCGATTCCCGACAGTCATGAACCGGGATTGAATCCCGCGTTAAAATTTTGTTTAATATGTGAATAACCTTAACATATTATTCACTGTTTCAATTATCATGAACTAGGTTGCTCTTGTTGAGGGGTACCTATTAATGTGATTTTGAACCGGCTAACTAACTTGCATACTAATTCTTAAATAATCAAATATAAATCTCCGAGAATACGTTTCTTTATTTGCACTATTAACGAGTTTATAAACTTTCGGGTTTTAAACGTCCCTTCTATAGGTAAAAGGGTCGTTTAAAACCCGAAAGCTTGTAAACTCGTTGATAATTCAAATAAATAAAATTATCCTCGGAGATTTATATTTGATTAATTTAAGAATTTGTATGCAAGTTAATTAGACGAAAAGAGAAAATAATATCAACACAATTGAAATATGTACAAAGGGTTGGTATGCAAATTAGGTTAAATGAAATCAAATTGTAAAGTATTTAAGAGACAGTAGATGTACATACAGTAAACTCTCCTATAACGCGATTAATGTGTTCCGTGTTGTATGAAATCGCGTTATAGGAATTCGCGTTGTACGAAATAAAACTTGTATAATGCGAATGTTGTTAGGGTAAATTGTTAGTGACAAGTAGCATGTATTTTATTTTATAACGCGTTATAGGAATTCGCGTTGTACGAAATAAAACTTGTATAACGCGAATGTTGTTAGGGTAAATTGTTAGTGACAAGTAGCATGTATTTTATTTTATAACGCGTTATACGAAAATTCGCGTTGTATAAATAAATTTGTCGCAATTTTTTTTATCGCGTTGTAAAAACTCGCGTTATAGGAGAGTCTACTGTATTTCAAATAAATTTCTTTCTTTTCTTTCAATGTTTTATTTATCTTTAAAGTGCAAGTGTCCCTAGGTGGACATAGTGCTCTAAGTCGAAATAAAAAAAAATCAAAAATGTCTCTTAAATTAATGCATTTATTTTAGTATTGTGACAGATATTAATGAAATTGCTTAAAACCTCATCTAGCTAACCTAGGTAAGTGTGATATCAATTTGACGTTGCTTCTAGATATTATTCCATAACATTTACTGATGTAAGTGGAAGACACGCGTTGTTTTTGCGGACATGAGGAACTTACCTCAATACATCTTTTACTACATTGTCCTGTTTTTCAAGACTATACAATCGACAATAATTTTATAGTAACAGATCCCAAGTATTTTTATTTCCAGTAAAAGGAACAACTGGTGGGTAGAAGTAGGCGACAGCTTTTACTGTAAGTGCACCACATGTCTACACATGTGAAAAGCAGTTCGGCTTTGCACTTACAAATGTGCCAGAGCCCCGTTTAGTTACTTGCACTCGTTGGTGGGGTTAGACTTTTTGCAAGAATCGGGAGCCATTGGAGCATTTTTTTTATTATTATTATTATTCAGAAAAAAGTGCTCAATGCGGGAATCGAACCCGAGTCGCAGCGGTCGAAAACCAACGTTTTAGACCATCTTTCCACCGATTCCCTAATATAATTCTAAAATAAAAGAATTGAAATCAAATCGTATTTAAGACAGTGTAAGTCTTAAATTGAGGACAATTTGTCTTACTTGAAGAAAGGACTCTCATGAATCCAGGCGCTCTGGGCATGGTAGTTGAGATCGTAGAAATTGAGTCGTAATTTGGCGATGTCTTCCCTGGTCATTTGGTCCTCCGCGTTCTTGTATCGAGCCAGTACATCCTGGAATAATAAATACACCAGAATTTATAGCATATACGAGTTATATTTTTTTTAAATAGTGAGGACTTCAGTTTTAAAAAATAAAAAAGGCATATCCTGACCATGCTCACATGAGTATTTTTATATGGCAGAGCGCCATCTAGTGAACCAAAATCTAGTTAACGACATACATCAATCTAAATAATTGCAAAAAGTATATTTATTCAATAAAAATGGCAAGTTTCCAAGCGTTAGCTCATCTCATCAGGCCAATTGTAGGTATTTGCGAAACAATTGGCCTAATGGTGAGCTAACACTTGAAAGCTTGCCGTTTTTATTGAATAAAGAAACGTTTTTCAATTATTTCGATTGATGTATATCGTTAAAATCCTTTGTAATTATTTCACAATCTAACAAAATCTAGTTGTTGACTTTTCTTAATTTATCAAGAAATTGGGTTGGTCAAATATCACGGAACAAGTTAAATAAACGTTTAGTTTATTTTTGTTCCACTAGATGGCATTCTGCCATCTAGAAATGCTCAGGTGAGCATGGTCAAGATATGCTTTTTTGTAATTTTTAATATCAACACCTGACCATTTATATGTATGAAAAAACAATAGAAAAATAAAAAGTTAGATGTTGATATTAAAAACAAAGTAGGCATATCCTGACCAGGAGCACATGTGCTTTTTAAGATGGCAGAGCGCCATCTAGTGGAACAGAAATAAACTATACATTGATTTAACCTGTTCCCTGATATTTGGACAACTTTGATTTCTGTATATATGTTTCAAAATCAGTTTTGTAATTTCGCATGTTGTCTTTTTCTGTAAGTGTTTCCTTATTGCATGGCTTCCGTCCTATCAATTTGTTACAGTCATCTATCTACAGGCCTTTTAGTGATCTGACTCTACTGAGAGCAACATAAGCTTGGCCGTCTGCAAAGATCTTCAATCCCAAGTAAACTACTGCCTTATCAACAGTGTTTCCTTGTGTACTGTTGATGACAAGACCATTGGCAACATCCTTCGTTCCGTGATTATACTTGGCCTGGAATTGTATTTGCTATCGGCTGAATCAAATGAATGCTGTTTTTATAATTATTACGAATCTCACACGCTATATCCTATGTGGATATTTGCATGAAAATGTTTAATCTATTATTATATACTAGCCGAATGACCCGGGCAACGCCCGTGTTTTACCCGATTGAATGTTTTGATTCAAATACTATTTGTTACAATTATAAATTGTGGTCATGTGGCCTAGTGGTCAAGGCATCTGCCCGGTAAGCGGAAGGTCGTGGGTTCGATTCCCATCCCTTGACACTTTTTTTATTTTATCCATTCTGACCAAAATCTATCCGTGAACTTCACACAGTGAACTTCACACAGACTGTCTTGTGCGAAGTCAACTCGAACTTTGAAGTCTTGAACAATCTATGAAAAAAAATCAATTCTCAACTCTCAACAGTTTCTGAGTTAACTTCATTTAAAAGGAAAGGAGATGGTGTGGTCCTCGAGATTTACTGGAGAAGATAGAAGACAGCGACAAAGAAAATGAAGCCTATCTGGAGATTTCTCCATCGTATATAAGACAGACCAATATATCTTATTCTAATATAGGGAGTGATATTCAAAGTTGTTACAATGAGTGAGGAGAAATTGGGATGTTTTATATATCTCGTTAATATAATAATTACTTGTTGAATAAAGGTATAGCATGATACATTAGCGCCCCATTAATATATATAGTCACGACCGTCTTTCCACCGTCAATTCCTCAATTCCTCAATTCCTCATGTCACGGATGCGCACGCATCATCATTAGTATAATATAAAAAGCCAACAATGAAGAATGAATGTAAGATAAAAAGCCAACAATGAAGAGTAAATATGATATAAAAAGCCATCAATGAAGAATGAATGTAATATAAAAAGCCAACAATGAAGAATAAATGTAATATAAAAAGCCAACAATGAAGAGTAAATATAATATAAAAAGCCAACAATGAAGAATGAATGTAAGATAAAACGCCAACAATAAAGAGTAAATGTAATATAAAAAGCCAACAATGAAGAAAAAATGTAAGATAAAAAGCCAACAATGAAGAGTAAATATAATATAAAAAGCCAACAATGAAGAATGAATGTAAGATAAAAAGCCAACAATGAAGAGTAAATATGATATAAAGCCAACAATGAAGAATGAATGTAAGATAAAAAGCCAACAATGAAGAGTAAATGTAATATAAAAAGCCAACAATGAAGAATAAATGTAAGATAAAAAGCCAACAATGAAGAGTAAATATAATATACAAAGCCAACAATGAAGAGTGAATGTAAGATAAAAAGCCAACAATGAAGAGTAAATGTAATATAAAATGCCAACAATGAAGAATGAATGTAAGATAAAAAGCCAACAATAAAGAGTGAATGTAATATAAAAAGCCAACAATGAAGAATGAATGTAAGATATAAAGCCAACAATGAAGAGTAAATATAATATAAAAAGCCAACAATGAAGAGTGAATGTAAGATAAAAAGCCAACAATGAAGAGTAAATGTAATATAAAAAGCCAACAGAGTGAATGTAAGATAAAAACCCAACAATGAAGAGTGAATGTAATATAAAAAGCCAACCTTGAAGAATGAATGTAAGATAAAAAGCCAACAATGAAGAGTAAATATTATATAAAAAGCCAACAATGAAGAGTGAATGTAAGATAAAAAGCCAACAATGAAGAGTAAATATTATATAAAAAGCCAACAATGAAGAGTGAATGTAAGATAAAAAGCCAACAATGAAGAGTAAATGTAATATAAAAAGCCAACAGAGTGAATGTAAGATAAAAAAGCCAACAATGAAGAGTAAATATAATATAAAAAGCCAACAATGAAGAATGAATGTAAGATAAAAAGCCAACAATGAAGAGTGAATGTAATATAAAAAGCCAATAATGAAGAATGAATGTAAGATAAAAAGTCAACAATGAAGAGTGAATGTAAGATAAAAATCCAACAATGAATAGTAAATGTAATATAAAAAGCCAACAATGAAGAATGTATGTAAGATAAAAAGCCAACAATGAAGAGTAAATGTAATATAAAAAGCCAACAATGAAGAATGTATGTAAGATAAAAAGCCAACAATGAAGAGTAAATATAATATAAAAAGCCAACAATGAAGAGTGAATGTAAGATAAAAATACAACAATGAAGAGTAAATGTAATATAAAAAGCCAACAGAGTGAATGTAAGATAAAACCCAACAATGAAGAGTGAATGTAATATAAAAAGCCAACCTTGAAGAATGAATGTAAGATAAAAAGCCAACAATGAAGAGTAAATATGATATAAAAAGCCAGCAATGAAGAGTGAATGTAAGATAAAAAGCCAACAATGAAGAGTAAATGTAATATAAAAAGCCAACAGAGTGAATGTAAGATAAAAAGCCAACAATGAAGAGTAAATATAATATAAAAAGCCAACAATGAAGAGTAAATCTCTATATATATAAAAATGAATGTTTGTCTCTTTGTATGTTTGTTTGTATGTCCGGTATACAAATTCGCAGTAGTTCACTAATTCAAACCAAAATTTCCATACATAGGTAAAATATACGGGGAAGACGATAGGCTATTTAAAAATATATATAAATCAATTATTAAAACAATATATTTTCAGTCAGAAAAGGATGATGACGATATTGCCGTATCATGTTTGATTATCAGATACAAAATAATATCGGGAAAAATTCCAAAAAGCAGAGACCACGGGTGAAACCAGTTCATTATTTTGTACGCAGGAACAAAGTTCTAACAGAAAACATTCATTCGAGCAGAAAATAAAAGCCAGATCATCTTTCTATAAAAATATCGCTTCTCAGACACAAAGTTTGCAGCGGGACGTTTCACAAGTGTGACATCCACGGCGCCAATTTATAATTGTAACGAATAGTATTTGAATAAAAACATTTAATCGGGTAAAACCCGGGCGTTGCCCGGGTCATTCGTCATTAATATATAGTCATGACCGTCTTTCCTCAATTCCTCATCGCTGTCACGGATGCGCGCGCATCATCATTATGATCATTATCTTCTATAGAAGCTTCTATCTTTATAATTATGTATATTTACAAAAAGTCAATTCGCTCGCGCCTCTAGCGGTGAAAATAAGGGGTAATACCAGCTGACCTAATGTACATATAAATTTTGGAGCGGGACGTTTCACAAGAGTGACATCCACGGCTCCAATTTATAATTGTAACAAATAGTATTTGAATAAAAACATTCAATCGGGTAAAACCCGGGCGTTGCCCGGGCCATTCGTCTAGTATGTTATAAGTATAAAATGAAAGAAGTTAAAAGCACGAATGTTTCTTTTATACACAATAAAAACTTATACTGTCCTTACTGCGATGAAAAATATATTTGAATGGCTTGGCTCATCAGTGGTGAACCCTCCCAGCGGTTTCGCCAATTTAATCCACCAGACCGCTTCTCAGAGCTCTAATACTGTATTGAACGATTCTGCTTATATACGCAGCACTGAAGGATGGGATCTCAGAAATGGTTTTCAAGAAAACTATGGACATAAGCTTATAGAGGACAGTAGAATTACATTCAAATATGATGAGCAAAGCCATCCCAATATATTTTTCATCGCAGTAAGGGCAGTATAAGTTTGTATTGTGTATAAAAGAAACATTCGTGCTTTTAAATCCTTTCATTTTATATGTATAGATGGCGCGTTATTGATTTGTGTTCATCTGTTATAAGAATTTTAGACCATTTTATAAGTGTATTGAATTTTTTTAAAATAAAAGTTAATGTAAAAAATAAAAAGGATCATACGCATCTAAAATAGTTTTAATTTGTTATATAGCAGTAACTATGAGAAAAAGAAACAACTAAAATAAGAATGAAAAAAAGGAATTAAATGTTTGGTGTTATTGAATAAGATTTCCATTTTCTATTGGCAGAATATTCATCTCGATTAAAGATTAATTCTAGAATCGACCGAATATGCCGATAAAAAGATGCTAGGTAAATATAAGCAAGAAAGTATCCATTGTTGAGATCGTAAAGTGGCATTCAAGAAAGTCAAAGCAAACAATTCTCAAAGTTTCGTCAACAAACGTGCTGTCTAGTTCTGACATGGAATATTTTCAAGAGATATCAGTGGGGTTGAGAAAACGGAGAACCCCATGACATTTAAGAAGTTTCAAGTGTTGCCCTTTTTGAGGTCCTTGAAAGCAAATATCAAAAAAGAAATAATATATCCTAACAAAAGATAGCTCACCGAAAGGGCGATCCTTGAAGAAATGGAAGAATAAACAAAGAACATCGAGTGTAGAGCTTAGTAGGCGATTCTTGAAATCAAATCTAAAGAATGAAATTTTCACGAAGAGTAGCCCCCTATAGATCAGTCGCTGAGGGAATGGAGAAACAATTAAGGAATGCCGAGTGTATGCGGTACTCGAAACGGTACTCGAAATCAAACCAAGAAAGCAATCTCGACAAAATGCATTCGTCTTAAAGAATGCTCGCAGAGGAAATGAAAAAAAATAATAATTAAGAAGAGAGGGGAAATTTAACAAGGAATCTATTCCTTTAGAGAGAGGTGTGAATGTAGAGTTGAAGTGCTACAATACAAGAATCAAATATTTTACAAGAAAACAGGACAGTTGAAAAGAAAGTGCATTGTTTTTGACTTTTAAAAATTATGGAAATAGGCTGAATCAAAGCAGATTTTCCATAATGTAGCCTTTAAACGATTATGATTTCTCTAAAACTGGAACAACAAAAATAATATTTCGACCCTATATTTTTACAATATGGACTATATCAATACGTAGCTTTATCAAAGCTAAAAATCAAAGAAACTTTCGAGCGGAAAACGGCACTTCGACGAGCTTTTTTAATCTATAAAAAGAGGCAATAAAGTTTACCAGCGACAATAAGTTTCTAGAGACGATAAAATGTCCTCTTTTTAGAGTTAAAAAAAACGAAGAACCTTTTATTATCTGAAAGCCCGCTCGTTTTTAACTTTCGCTAAAGATACACTGTAACATCAGGGTCCCGTCTTGAGCCAAGACGACGTAGGTGGTAGTCAAAGAAGTACTACTGGGGGACCGTGGGATTAAAGAATGGAGTCAGTTGAGGCAGACAGGGGAGAGAACAGGCAATCTGGTGACATCGGCGGTGTGAGAGGAAACGACAAGTTGTCTTCGGGAGTATGGCCGTGTGGATGATCCTGCAAGACGGTGCCATGGAAGCCGACTGTTGGCGAGGAGGATTCTTTTGGTAGTGAAGATTGAAGGTAAGTC